ATATGTAAAAAAATTCAATTTTCCACTATTGTCAAAATCATTAAAACCAATCATGGATGTTAGTTTGATAGGAAGAAGTATTTTGATTCCGAAGGAATTTGCATCAAACAAATTATGTAGAAACACCTAAACAAAATGGGATAGTTGAAAAAAAACACTCTTGAATGTTACAAGAGCCTTGATTTTTCAATCTAACTAGTACAGAAATCACTTTTAACATCGATCTTTCCACATCGGTTCTCAGATGAACCGATGTAGAAAGTCATTTTAGAAAATTAAGAGAATTGTCACTAGTAAGATTCGAACCCAGTACCTTAGAGTCGAAGGTCGATACTCCAACCACTAAGCTACTAGGATTTTTCGATAATAACTTATACATAAATTATATTTATATACAAATAAAAATGTATATCCATGTAAATATATAAATATAAAATATATAAATACAAATACAAATATATTTATATATTTATATGTTGAATGTGAGAACGCGCTCGAGAGTGAAAGTGTGTGACAAGTGGGTTTTCAAAATTTGATGTTAAATTTGTGAGCGAGTCTCTTTATATGAATTTGTAATTTAATAATAGAATAAAATCTTTATAATTTATTTATAATAATATAGAATATAATCTTTATAATTAATTTATATAATGATATAAAATAAAGAAAAAAATTATTTTATATCATTATATAAATAAATTATAAAGATTATATTTTGTCATTAAGTTATAATCCATATAAAGAGACTCGCTCACAAATTTGACATCAAATTTTGAAAATTCACTCGACACACACTTTCATCCTCGAGCGCGCCCTCACATCCAACATATAAATATATAAATATATTTGTATTTGTATTTATATATTTTATATTTATATATTTATATATTTACATGGATATACATTTTTATTTGTATATAAATATAATTTATGTATAAGTTATTATCAAAAAATCCTAGTAGCTTAGTGGTTAGAGTATCGGCCTTCGACTCTAAGGTACTGGGTTCGAATTTTGCCGATGACAATTCTCTTAATCTGATAATAATTCAAATTCTTAAAAAATATAAATAATATAATAAATAATAAAAATATAATATAAAAGGGAGAAGAGACCTACCTATCAATAGATAGGATAATTGGAGAGGGGTTATGAATAAATAAAAATATATAAATAAATAAAAATATTAGACTTTCTACATCGGTTCCTTACAACCGATGTGGAAAGTCACACTTTCTACATCGGTCGTATCTACATCGGTTCTAGAACTGATGTTAAAAGCCTATTTTGTACTAGTGAGTCTTTCGATGTTTATGTTACATTAGTATCATTGCTGCTAACAGATCAAAATTAGAACCTCATGCAAAGGCTGGTATTTTTATTGGTTTTCAATCAAACACCAAAGGATATATTGTTTATGATCTTAAGACGCATGACATCAAAATTTCCAGAAATGTCATTTTCAATGAGAATTCTTTTCCTAAAATTATTGACTCCATGACTAATGAAAATATTACACAAAATTCTTTACCCTTCCTAATGTTAAGCATATTGATTTTGATAAAGATGTTTCTCATAACCAATGTGTTAACATTGATGAAGATGTTTCTACTAATTTTTATGATGAAACAGATTCTATCTTTGAAAGTAATTTTGATATCAATCACAATCTTCGTAGACGTTCTAATAGAATTAGATACACTCTCACCTACTTGAAGGATAACAAATGTATCTCGTAAAGTAAAGTATCTTACTAAATCTTTATATCTTTTGTTAGACTTTCTCCTTCTTTTAGGAAAATTATTCTCTTTATAGATGCCAATTTTAAGCCTAAAACATATGAAAAAGATACTCAACACAATAATTGGAGAAAATCAATGTCAAAGGAAGTTGTAACCCTTGAACAGAACAAAACTTGGATAATTAATAAGAGAGCCATATGTTGTAAATGGGTTTACAAGGTTAAGTATAACTACAATGGATCTATAGATAGGTATAAGGCTAAACTTGTAGCCAAAGGTTACACTCAATTTAAAGGCTTGTATTTCTTAAATACTTTCTAGCATTTTGCCAAATTAACCACTATCCAATTTGATTTATCTCTTGCTAATATAAAGGATTGGTATTTAAAGTAATTAGATGTAAACAATGTCTTCTTACATGATGATTTAAATGAAGAGGTTTATATGCAATTCCCTCAAGATGTGAAAACTAAGAAGAAAGATTAGGTACGTAGATTACATAAATCCCTCTGTGGTTTTAAACAAGTGAATTATATTCTTTACTTATTTCACATTATTTTAAATAAGCATTTGTTGATCATTTTTTATTTCTAAAAATTATTGATCACAATATCACTATTTACTAGTGTACGTCGATAACATTGTATTAACTAAAATAATATTAATGAAATTAATAATATCACTTTGATGCTTGATAGGAGTTTCAAAATTAGAAATCTTGGTAATCTAACATACTTTCTAGGCTTTGAGGTTGTGAGGAATAGCATATGTATACATCTTTCCCAACAAAAATACACACCTTGGATCTTCTCCGCGAGACAGGAATGGTATCTTCTACCCCAGTTGCCAAACATATGAATTTCTCCAGCAAGATCTCATCCAACAGTCGACACCTTTACAAATATCCTGCCTCTTAATACTTATTAAGAAGCTCATCTATCTCACCAACACAAGGTCTGACATAACATACGCAATGCACTACCTCAGTCAGTAGTCAGTTCGTTGCTGCTTCCACAACTACATACCATCAAGCTTCTCTCAGGATTCACTACAAAAAAAAAGCCTATTACCTACGGAATATTACCTACGGATAAAAATCCGTAGGTAAATTTTACATTACCTACGGATATTACCCACGGATGAAAATCCGTAGGTAAATTGTACATTACCTACGAAATTCTATTTGTAGATAATTATCCATTATCTACGGATATTATCCGTAGGTAATGTAATCCGTGGATAATTCCGTAGGTAATTACCTACGTAATTACTATCCGTTGGTAATTACCTACGGATATTACTTATGGAATTCTATCCGTGAGTAATTATCCATTACCTACGGATATTATCCATAGGTAATGTCATCTGTGTTACCTACGGAATTACTATCCGTAGGTAAATTATATTAAACTAAAAGAATTGTCACTAGCAAGAATCGAACCCAGTACCTTAAAGTTGAAAACTAATACTCCAACCACTAAACTATTAGGATATTCTAATAATAATTTACAACTAAATTATACTTATATTTATTCGTCTAAATATATAAATATATAAATACATAAATACATAAATACATAAATACATAAATACATAAATACATAAAAATATATAAATACATAAATACATAAATATATAAATACATAAATACATAAATATATAAATATAAATATATAAATACATAAATACATAAATATATAAATACATAAATATATAAATACATAAATACATAAATATATAAATAGATAAATATATAAATATATAAATACATAAATATATAAATACATAAATACATAAATATATAAATATAAATATATAAATATATAAATATAAATATATAAATACAAATATATAAATATATAAAAATATAAATATATTTTATATTTATATATTTTATATTTATATATTTTATATTTATATATTTTATATTTATATATTTACACGGATAAATATAAATATAATTTATTTGTAAATTATAATCAAAATATCCTAATAGACTTAGTGGTTGGAGTATCAACTTCTAATTCAGTGAGTGCATTCTACGGACTCACGGAAAGATATCACTATGTAAAGTGACATTAATAAACATTTTTTTTGTAGTGATTCTGCTATATCTCAAGCATGCCCCTAGTCTAGGAGTCTTCCTTGATGCCAATATATAGTGAGATAAATTTGAATGTCTTCAGTGATCTCGATTAGGAAGGGTGCTCTGATATGTGTAAATTTCTTACTAGATACATTGTGTACCTTGAAAATTCTCCTATATCATGTCGTCCTAAAAAAATTCTAACTATTTCGAGAAGCTTCTCTAAGGCTAAGTATAGAGCTCTTGCTCATACTACCTGAACTACATTGACGGAGTCATCTAATAGAAGGTCTTCATATATCTCATCATCAAACTCTATCACTAATTATGATAACTTATCTATAATAAAAATTATATCTAATCAAGTATTCAATGAACGTACCAAATATGTAGAAATAGACGGTCACGTTACCACAGAAGAGGTGCAACAAGGTCTTGTCAAACTTCTCCCTGTTCGCTCTAATATACAACTCGGTCACATCTTAACCAATGTTTTGCCACCTTCAATTTTTCACTCTTTGTACTCCGAGGTGCGAATGATAAATATCTATTCCTTGGGGGCTCTCATAATATACAAAATCAAAATCAGGTTCTAGAGAATTTCTCCAAACTGTCTGTACAGAAGGTTCTGCAAAATTTCTTCAAACTGCGTGTAGAAACAAATAACACTTGAACGGGCTTTTCCATTTTTTTCATTTTTTCTAAGTTTTAGGCTTTATAAGCAGTTGTTTTCCTTCTTCTTTTTTAAGTTTTTTTGATATTTTGTAAACACTCATAGTCTTTAATAAAATTCTCTTTTCTCCTTTTCGCTCTACTCTCCTCTTTCCTTTCCTTCTTCATAGATAACTTTTATCACAAGGAGAACAACACAAATGTGATAAATATGAAAGATTTCCTGGGCTTCCCAGAAATTCTACGATATTTAACAAAATATAAAGTTCTAAAATAAAAATCTAACTTTATTTAGATATCAGCACCAAATGTAATATAGTTGCAATGCATAAGATTTCATCATTCTTTAAATGGAAATATAATCCGACAACTTATTATATTTATATAGTAATACATTGACTTGTTGGTGTAGTTGTATGTTACTCGTAGTTGTCAACCTATTTGAAAGTGGTGTTCCCATGATGGTGCAGATCCATATCATGCATGCATGGCTCAAGCAAAATCACTGGGGAAGATTTAGTTTACAATAAACATAGTCCTTGAATTTCTTGGCCTTGTACTTGGGAGGGTTATCTTCTGTGACAAGCTGAGAGAGAGGCCCCACCACCCACTCCCCCGGCGGCTCCACGAACACCGGCCACGAAATCCTCGTTCGTTCCTTGTCCACCGTCGTTCTGTGTGTCACGCTCTTGTACCTCCCATTGCTCAGAATCTCCCACACCAAAACAATCAGAATAGTATTACTAACACATTCAGATAGTAACCTTTTTTCATATCAGAATTACTACTTAATAGTTCATACAGTGACCAAGAGAGTTTGGGGAAAAGTAGTAACCTGTATTTGATCTCCTATGATGATGATGAGGGCGTTGGGGATGTAGTTGGCGCGAATCCAGATATCATCCTTGAGAATCTGGAGGCCAGGGACCTCATTGGGCATAAGAACAGTGAGTGAAAAATCAGCGTGAGGGGTCAATCCCAGAGCGAGATCAGGGCGAGGACAAGGTGGGTAGAAGTTTATCTTCAACATGTATTCCAATTCATCTCCTCCCGCACCCTCCTTCATAACATGCCCTTCCAGTCCCAACCCCAGAGACAGACATGTGAACACCTTCTCCGCCACCCTTCGCACCTCCTTCGCGTACTCTTCGTTCGTCTCTCTGCACCATGCACAACAACTCCAAACTTAGAAACCTACGTACTAAGTGGTACCAAATACTAGTTCATGTCTTGAAGGGTTTTTAACGATTTGAATATTATCTTACGAGTTAGATTTTGACATAATTCCATTTTATAAAACTCACTTGTGAGAAACTGAAGATGGTACCCGTAAGAAACTGGATTCTGAGGCCAAAACTTGTAGTCGATGCAAGAAGGAGGCCATATTTTGTGGAAAAGATGATCGGTCCAAGCTTTCTTTCCCTGTGCACCTTCATGCAGCTTGCGAAAAAGACTATCGGTCCCATACCCTTGGAGGCTTTTAGCATCAGGTGACCTGGCATACTTTTCCTTCTCCTTCTGGGGGAGTTGGAAGAACTCTTTGCCAACACTTTGCAACTTGTGCATCAACTCAGAGGGTATTCCATGGTTCACGACTTGGAAAATGCCCCACTCTTCCGCAGCCTCGGAAATCAGCTTTACTAGGTTTTCTTGGTCAGGGTTGCTTAGGTCGATGGTAGGTATGTCAGGGGCATCACCCTCGAAAGTGGTTATCGCCGGCTGCTCTGTCTCCGGCCGAATGAATTCTTCTGGGATTGTGTTTGGCTCCATGGACAATGTGGCTATGTTTTGAACCCTATTCACCTCCATTTGCGTTAATGCCACACAAACTACGCTTTCTCTTCACCGCATGTAAGATTATTGGTTTCACACAGGGCCTTGGAACATAAATGTACTTGAAGAGGAGAAATATCTTTTATCAAACTCTAAATACATTGTCTTAAAATTATAGAAAATGATAATTTTACAACTATAGATCTCCTTCTACCAAAGTTATACTGTTCATAAATTTTATTGAAAAAAAAAAAAGTTATGTACATTTATTTCTTTCCAACAAAAATAATGAATGAGGGGGCAGTGCAATGAGGTGGAGTTATAATATTCACTAGCTAGAAATAGCAACGTGGTAGGGTAGATAGGTTAGGTTTGGGAAAGTAAGTTTGGTAGGGCAATTACTGAAGCTCGTAGGGGAATCCTAACTGCCCTTATCATTTCATGAAAACACTTATTGATGTATTTTTATTAAGTCTAACCAAAATTGTTCTTCTTTTAGTATATTTTAAAGTTAGTTTTATTATTTTTAATATTTAATAAGAATTATAATTAGATTTGATTTGTCCAACTAGTGATAGATGACATGTGTTTCTCATTGATAGATATTTGGGAATTTAATCAAAAGTCAAAGAGGTTGGGCAGGTTGATATTTAAAGAATTTAATGCTCATATAATCAATTTAAATAAGAAATATAAGGTGGTTACAGTATAAATGAATTGAAATGTAGATTTTTTTTCAAATCTAAAAAATTATTCTCTTAAAATTAGAGTAATTTTTATTTAAATATGTAATAGTATATAACGAATTTGCATATACTATAAAAATATTTGATTTATAAAAAAATCATTAATGTGGAAAAATTTATAGGGCTGTTACCAAGATCAATTTTTTAAATATCATAGTTAAAAATCAATTATTTTTCTATAGAAAATCTTATGTTGAATATTGTATTAGAGCCAATTTGATAATTTTGCTATGCAAAATAAGTTAAAAAGGGTAAGAATGGGAAAAGAGTTTTTGTTTTCATGGTGTTGAGTCTCCAAGAAACCGAATTTCAAATTGTCTAAGTGGTACCAGAAATCCACTTAGAATTCAAATATTGAGAGGTTGAATTTTGATCACGACTCTTATTTTTTTTAGGTATATATATATATATATATATATATATATATATATATATTTAACCTTATATATGTATAATAATATGTTTAGGGATATTTGTTAGTCATTGTATTACCTTAATAAAAATTAACAAATGATGGATTAATATATGTATCATAATTTTTTAAATACTATTTGATATTATTCTCTCGTAAACTATAATAACATCGTTTTCTTGAAGTTAATTTATATATTTTGTAATCCTGAAATAATGGTAATTTAACATATATCGTCCTTTGTCCAACTATTTACAAATATTACTGAAATACTAAATCTATTAAAATCGCAAACAAGTAATTGACATTAATTTTCAAATCAAAACTAAAAAATGTTCATATGTGAAGTACGAAAGAACAAAAGTTTTGTACCCAAGCATGCAACACGAATAATTATGGGAAAATTTTAAATTTTTTGTATAGAAAGAAATTATTCACATTTGTCTCATAACAAATATTACCTCGACAATATTTTTCAATTTAATCAAATTATATATTTAATCAAATTATATATATATATATATATATATATATATATATATATATATATATATATATATATATATATATCACGTCTAATTAATGCAATCAATTCAAGATTGATTATATTCACTATTCATGAAAACTGAGTACTACCTACATTTTATCAAACATAATAAGTAATAAAAAAATTATTTTTCAAAAAAAAAAAACTATATAAAGAAAAACAATCTACATGCCGACTTTAAGAAAAAAATATTTGTTTGAAGGGTGAATTTAAAAAATAGAGAAAAAAGCGAGTAAAAAATAAAAATGTTTAGATTAAAAAAAAAGTTTTCCATAAAAAGAAATATATTTTACTTTTTATTTAATTTTAAATTATAATATTTCAATATTAACAATTGTATATTTAATTTTAAAATAACATTTCATATTATAGACTTAATAAGTTATAACTTGAGATAATAATTATATTGTCTTAAAGAAGATATAAGAATCATTTAGTTAATTCTCATTAAAACTAATCAATTATCAATTATTTTATGAGGATAATCGATTATTTGTAAATGAATAAAAATTTATTTAATAAAATAATTGATTTTTTTGAATAATAATCGATTATTTATTAAAGAGTTCATAATTTTTCTAAAATTTTAAAACACGAGATAAAAAAATTAGTTTAGTTTATAATTAAGTAAATATTTTTTCATTATTCTAAAATATTTTCAAACTATTTTCGAAAGACCTAGTGTTATGCATAAAAAATGGTAGAAAACTCATAAACTAAATATCAAATTTAATTTAATATATGTAAAAATATAAAAATAATGCACACGTGATAATATATCATTTTCTAAATTGTTTATATATATATATATATATATATATATATATATATATATATATATATATATATATATATATATTTCAAAACTAAATCTCTAAAAAATTCAAAGGGTTAATAGCTAGTAATGAATATTCATGATTAAAAATCTAACTTTATTATTCTAAGTTTTATTTTAAAATTTTAAAAACAATTAAAATTTGTACATATTTAGTTTTAAAAATTTATGAACTACAGGTTTTAAAGTGTTTAAAAATTCAATATAATAGTAAAATATGATAATAAATTTCAATTTAATTATTTGATATGAATACATTGTTTTAATAAATTATTTAACATTTTAAAAAAATGTAAATATTTTTATGGTAAGTTATAATTTAATTAATATACTAAATTTTAATTTAATTATGAAATTTGAATAATTCCCAATATCAGAAAATTATTTGAAACATTTTCTAAAAATTAAAAATTATAAAAAGTATTTGTAGAGTGATTTTCCAATATGTAAATAGTAATTAATATTTTAAGCTAAAAATATTTTTAATTTCAACAAAATATTTTTAACAATGTTCAATAAACTGATTGATAAATTTTGAGTTAATTTTTTGTTGTCAATTGTGATAGTTTGAACAAAACACTTATAACATTTTTTAAAAATCAAATGTCAACTAGTTACTAATGGTTAACTAAAACATATATAAAATCTTTAGAAGTTTATACCTTTTTATTTAAAAAATTAATAACAGATTTTAAATAATTAAAAATGTTTAATTTAATTTAAATATTTTATTTTAACAATTTTCAGTTTTAATAAAAGACCTGTATTGTCTTTATAGTAGTTGTAAATATTAATATATTTGGTATTATATGTAATATCTAATCATTTATAATAACATCATATTTTTAATAATTTAATTTAAATTAGATAAGTACTTAATATTAATTATATTTGTTAAATTATTTTCTTAATTTTAAGTTGATAATATCCTTTAAAATTAAAAAAAAAGTTTGAAACTGTTAAAAGATATTTACAATTTATACCCTTATAGATTTTTCCCCCAAAATATTAAAATAATAATTAATTTATCAAATAGACCAATAAAAATTTATCAGAAAATATTAAAATAATAATTAATTTCTCAAATAAACCCATAAAACTTTATTTGCCAACTTGTTTTGTAAAGCGATCAAAATGGACAATTCAATTTAACCTTATCTATGGATCAAGAAAATTTGATAATTTAGATCTATATTTTAAAATAAATTATAATTTTTTATCTCTGATCATATATTAGACTAATAGGTTAACGACTCAATTTCAACATCTATATCAAAATAATTAAATAAAAATATATTTTAAAATTTAAATTATATTACTTAAATTAGTTTTATTTAAGATATAATAATTTAAGATATAAATTATAAGAGAATATATTCATTTAATTTTAAAATAAAAGTTAAAAACATATTCTTCATTATAATCATTTATTTTTTTTAGTAATTTATTAATCTAAATAGAAATTAATCTTAACCATTAGATCTTGAAATAAGTGGTTATTAGAGACTTATTAGTGAATCACTTGATAAATTAATTTATAATACATATATATTTTTAATATAATATTTTTATTTTTATTTTTTATTTAAATTTTTATTATTATTCTATAAAATGGGTAGCCTAGTCTAAGTGTGAGAAGAAAAGTCTTACATTTGGTAAATCTTACTTTGATGCTTACTTTTCTTACTATAAAAGGAGCACAATATTTACCTTGTAAATCACACCAAAATTACTTCTTTTTCTTTCTCCTACTTTAGTGCTTGAGAGATAAATTAAAAGAGAAAAAATAGTTTTTCTTTAAAGTTTTCTTAGAGTGGATTTTCTTTTATTTTCAAGAGAGGGTATTATTGTTTCTTCCTTAGAGGATTAATATGATCTTCCGCATCAAAAAATAGTTATTTTGTTACTAGATATTATTTGGTGGTATGAAAGTGTATATCTAAAAAAGTTTTGACAAGGAAAGACTTGGTATACTAGTTCAGGTCTACCATTGTTGTTCCCGTAGGCAATACTATTCATAGCGAGGATTGCATAAGTTGATTTGGAACCATGGTAACAAAATATGAGATAGAGAAGTTCATTGGGAGTAATTTATCATTGTGGAAATATAAGATAAAGACAATATTGATGAGAGAAAGATCAACGGAACGTGGCTCCAGTAGGAATCAAAATAGTTATAGATATCGAGCTCTCGAAGTAAGAAAATTCTAAAATCAAATGCTACTTTTGTGGCAGGAAAGAGCATACGAAGAAAGAGTGTTAGAAGATGAAGAATGGAGGAAACCACTCAGAAGCATCAACCCCACAAGGTTGTGCTGTAAGTACCTTGGAAGATGGAGATATTCTGGTGAGGAAAGTAGTATTTAGTTCTAATGGTGAAAAGGAGTTTCATGACAAGTGGATAGTGGATTCAAGTGTAACTTGGCACATGACTCCACACCAAAATTGGTTTCACACTTATGAACTTGTCTCAGGTGGATCCATCTTCATGGGAAA